GTGCAACCCAAAAAAAAAACTCAGGTAGGTCTCAAGAATTTTTTTTTTAATTATTTTTTTGGGGGGTTGTGTCGCATCACGTTTCCCAGGGGTTTACGAATAATTTCTATTGACTTGAGTCGTCGAAAGTTTGCGATTTTTAAAAAATATGGGTCGCCCAGAAAACTAGTGGCAAACACTGATATAGGGATACGATACGTATCGCGATACAGGGGGCAACAATATGATATATTGAGATATATTGCGATGTCACTTACTGGCATGAATTGCACGTCCTGGAAGAGCTCCTGTATGAAACGCCTGGACGTCAAGCGAAACATGCAGTGGGCCAAGAGGTGTGATACCTCGGAGTACAGGCAGATGTCATCAAAGGCGTAAGAAAACTTCTCCTTTATCCTGAAAGGAGACAAACGGGGTTAAAATGCAGCGCTGCTGTTATCGGTGATAGTAGGTTAAAGTTTTACGTAAGGAGAAAGGTTTTTTTTTTACGTCAGCAGTCCTGTTTCGTGACCTTTGGTTCCCACGGAGGAACTGAGGTTGATGATAAGTCGGAGGACCTCCTTCCTCAGCAGCACTCGGGAGGCGGGGCCGTCCTCCGATATCGCCTTTCCGTCTGAGGGAGACGCAAAACAGAGTCGTAAAAAATTCGTAAACATTTTTTCCATCGTTGTCGGCGTTTATGGAACAGTGTTAGGGGTCAGTCAAAATGTCCGGAGACAAACCGAAATCCACTTCCTTTAAATGTATGGCTAAGAATCATATCCTCTTGCAGACCACTAAGGGGCGCAAAAGTAATTTACAATTCAGAGCTGGTTCTCAAACTTTTTTACACTCCTGTACCACCTGAGAAAACATTGATCTCTCCAAGTACCACCACGATGACAGACGTTCGCATATATTAGCTGTTAGCTTCCTCTTTTGTAATCTCACAAGTAGCTACGCGCTTTTTTCTAGATGTCGTATTAATTGTTTCAGATTTATTCAATTGAAAATGTAAATGTGAAAAGATGAATTTTCTCTCGCGTACCACAGTTTGAGAACCA